ATATTCAAGTCATCGCCCTCGCCCTTCGGTTTCTTCGATAGCGGGCGGGGAGTCATGCCCTTAGTTTCTCGCGTATTTCTCACTGCGCACATTGCGTCGGGGGAGCTCGACATCGGCTGAGCATCCACCTTGGTTTGGGCTCTCTCCGTCGTCGAGGTCATCGTCCAAACCAAGGATGGCTTTCTGACTTGCCTTAATCGTTGCACGGTCAGGTGCGAGACCGACACGCCGGTCAGGGAGAGGGTCAAGATGGCGCGACGGACAAGGCGAGATGTGGAATCGGGCATGTTCTTCGTTATTTTCTATCGAATGAGAGCAATCCCCTTCAGCTTGTAAATCGCTCGCATCCTCGCTCTGCCCATGCAGCGCATACTGCCCCGCATGCTCGGCGCTTAGGCTTTCGGCGCCTGGCATTTCGATGGGGGTGTGGCCCAACAGCTTTTCCATTTCGAGATCTATGTCGATCGATGGCTGAAAGCCAGGAGGTCCCGACACCAACGCAGATGGCCCCTCGGCGGAAGTTTTGGCTGTGCCATGCCTTCCGCTCGAGTGTTCTTCTCTGGGCCTTGTCATGGAATCAACCGATGAATCCCCTTCTGATGAGTCAAACGCAGTCTCTGATGCTTTCGCACTGGGAAGTTTAAAAGGATTCTGTCGCCTCGTTGAGGCGCCTATACTTGCGTTGCGCTCGGCAGGCCTTCGGTCTTCTGTTCGCCCGAGCGCTCCTTCTTGTGATCCCATGCTCTGCGAAGCGAACGGCGGATAACTAATCTTTTGCCTGCACATGCATAATCCCTGCTAGATGTTCCGACGAAGTCTCATGGTCAGTGGGCTCCGCAGATGACATGGGTAAGAAGAGACAATGCCGTCAAGCATGCACTAAAGCAACGCTGAAAGGAGGGGGGCGACCCGCCGGCCGACGCGCGCGCGCCGCAGGCTCGTTCCTTTTCCGTTTCCCTAGAGCCAAAGTAATATCGCCGCGGGGGCTGAAGTCCTCAGTCAGCACAGCAGGCGGACAGCGCGCGCAATGAGAGAGAGCAGGATGGGGCGAAATATAGGTGGTGCGGAAGGGGTGCATTGACTCCTTCCGTCCTCCTCTCGTGGGCCTCCTCGATGATTCTCCACTGGGCCCCCCTGTGGCGGCGCGCTTGTCTTACGCGCGCGTTGGATGGCCTCGCGTTGTTTTGCTTTGCCCATCGAAGCCCACTGTGCTGCGGGCTGCCATGCCCTTCAGCTTGTAACGCTTTGTGGCTTACTTGCTGATCGTGGTTGCGCATGCCCGTAATGACCCTTTGGGGGTCTCCATCTTTCTGCCTGGTGTTCTCAATGCCACTTTCTCTGCGTGTCGCGCTCGGTGGTGGCAAGTCTCTGCTGGTATTCCTCGTTGGTCATGTGGGTGGTGGCCTCCATGCGCCTGTGTCACTCCAGTAACTCCGTCTTCGCTTGTCAGTTCTTCCCTCTGCATCGCTCCACTTCGGGTTCAAGATCGCGTTGTCGCTGTTGTCCTGGATCCTGGCTTCTGCTGCTTTGGCCTTGATTTTGGCGATGTGGCCCTCGGCCTTTCAAGGGTCTTGTTGCAGTGCTTCTGCCATTCTCCTGCCGAGCTCTCTGCGCCTCGAAGATTCTGCAATGCCTGGGGTTCTCTCTGTAGTTGGCTGTCGTCTGTTGCGCGCGGTTGAAAGCCCATGTCCGCTGCCGATCTCCCCGCGGCTTCGATATCCTCCTCCGCCCTGTTGAGCCTCTCCGCGTTGATGGTATGCGTGTACTCGCGGTGTGCCATCATCAATTTCTGTGGCCTGCTTTAAACTTTGCGTGTCCTTCTTGAGCTCGTTGTGGTACTTCCCGGCCTTGGTCGCCTCGTGGCGTTGGTTACAGTCGCGTTGGCGTCCGGCTTCCTCCGCTGCTCGGGAGTGCCTGTTTATTGTCGTCTCGTCGCTGGCTACAGCTTTGTTTATGTCGATGGCCATGCGCTGGTTGTCCTCCTTCGAGACCCTGACCATGGTGCCGAAATCCCCGCCCGTCTGTGGCTTCACTTGCCCGTGATTGCCTTCTTGGGTTTCGTGCTGGTGTGAGCAGTCTTCTCTGCGGCACGTTATTTTGTGGTTGGCCGGCTTCGTCCTCTGCAGCTTCTGCGTCAATGTGTTGATAATCTCTGGCGTTGCTGATGTCGCGCTGGAGGGCGGTGGGCTCATCGATTTTGTTCCCGATCTCGTGCGCGTCGTTCATTATTTGTTGCTGGTGGATCTTCGAGCGTTCGCGGTAGCCCTCCATGGCCCTCTTGGTACTGTTGATATCCCTCGCCTGCTGGACCAGAGGCATGCTGATGGGGGCCATCGCTTTAGTGAAGACGATCTGCGTGAGTGCGTCGGCGGTAGGTCGCCCTGCTGCGCTATTCTTGACGATGGCAGCTGCCGCTCTTCGCTCCTCTGCATGTTTGATATTATTCCGTTCGTCCCTCACCTTGCGATTCTTGGGGGGTAGCTCCCACTCGTGCCTCCGGGCGGCGTTGATTTCCCCGTGGGCATGACGTCGTTGATCGTGTCGATGATGTGCTCGTTGTAATTGTTGTTGTCGTAATTCTGGTCGTCGTCCTTTTTCTTGGGAGTCGTCTCCTTGTCGAGGTGGGTATTGCCCTTTCGTTTGTTGTTCTTGCCGTTGCCATTCTGGTCGTGGTTGGCGGCCTCCTGGTGGTCATTCCTCATTTTGCCGTCCTGGTTGCTGCCTTACCCGTTGATGTTCTGGCTCCAGGACTTGTCCGGGTGGTTGTTGGCCCAGTGGTCCATCCAGTTGTGGCTCTTCATACGCTCAAATCCCGCAGCAATGGCTGACATACTGGGCATCGGTGTCGTAACCCTGGAACGTGGGCGACTCGATGTTCGTCTCCACGGTGTTAGTTCAGATCCCGATCCGCTCGTGGCTGCTCTGCATGATGGCGCCATGTTTGGAACAGGTGGATGTCGCGGTTACTGCTGGGCGCTGTGGTGCGCTCGGAGTAGATTTCGCGCATTGTGAAATCGGAACAGGACGCGGGCGCCAGTACGCTGTCGACGGAGCCGACGATGCCATCCAGAAGATCTGGTTCTGGATCTTGCCGCGGGTGTAAACGGGGTTTTTCGGTGGGGTCGAGATGATGGCGTATATCGCGGGCCTGATGTGGCCGCGTTTGGCCGCCGCCGCGAAAACCTGAAGGCCTGTCCCTCGGGAGGGGCAGGTTCGGGCGCACGCGGCTCTCCTCCTCCTCCTCCTCCTCCTCCTCCTCCTCCTCCTCCTCCTCCTCCTCCTTCTCCCCCTCCCCACCAGCCGCCCCCTCACACTCGTATCCTCCTCTTCCTCCTCCTCCTCGACCTCCTCCTCCTCTTCTCCTTTTAGTAGTAGTAGTAGTAGTAGTAGTAGTAGTAGTAGTAGTAGTAGTAGTAGTAGTAGTAGTAGTAGTAGTAGTAGTAGTAGTAGTAGTAGTAGTAGTAGTAGTAGTAGTAGTAGTAGTAGTAGTAGTAGTAGTAGTAGTAGTAGTAGTAGTAGTAGTAGTATTTGAAATACTACTACTACCATTCGTAGTATTACTCCTTGTCCTCCTCCTGATCGGGAGAGGGGGGAGGACATACAACGATTGTTTGTTTGTATCAAGTGGGCCCTTGGGACAGAACGTGAGGAAGAACACACATATATATATATAGCCATATCTACATATGGAACAGGAATTTGAGGAGGAGGGAGGAGGAGGAGGGAGGAGGGGAGGAGAGGAGGAGAGAGAGGGAGGTAGGGAGGGAGGCGGAGGCGGAGGCGGAAGGCGGAGGAGGAGGAGGAGGAGGAGGAGGATGAGGAGGGAGGGAGGGAGGAGGGAGGAGGGAGGAGGGGAGGAGGAGGAGGAAGGAGGAGGAGGAGGAGGGAGGAGGGAGGGGGAGGAGGAGGGAGGAGGGGGAGGAAGGGAGGAGGGGAGGAGGAGAGGAGGGAGGGAGGAGGGAGGAGGAGAGAGGGAGAGAGGGAAGGGAGAGAGGGAGGAGGGAGGGAGGGAAGGAGGAGGAGGAGGAGGAGGAGCGGAGACCTCGCCCCCCGTGGGCGCCGCCAGGCACGTCACTGCCACCGCTCTGCTGCGCCCCACTTGGGGGCCGCCGAGCGCGAGCATCTGTGCCGCCGCCCTGCCCCCGCGGCTCGTTGACGGTCCCAGGGAGAACAGTCCAGGATGATCCCCTGGTGCTGCTGCTGCTGCTACTCCTCCAAAGGCCTCCTAGATGGGCTCGGGCCCCTCGGACCTGTCAGGGCTGGACCTAAACGTTGTCTTTCGTTTCGTGTTCGTTAGGGGAACGAAGAATGACATGCACATAACCCGGAGGTCCGCGGGGATTTCTCGGATCCGCGCTGGAGCCCCTTGGCGGCGCCTCCGGCGCCGCCCCTGGCGCGCTCCGCGCGCCAGGGAGGGGGGTCCAGCGCCGATCCGAGAAATTCGCGCGGACCTCAGATGTTTTCTGTTTTCGTCACTATTCGTTCGCCCTGAACGCTGTTTTTCGTTATGTGTTCGTTTTGTTGCTCGTTTTGCTCTGCCTGTTGTCCTATGCCTCCCTGCGACAACGAAACCCAAACACTGCCACACTCCAGCAAAACAGCGGTTAGGTCCAGCCCTGCCCTATGGATCGACTCTTCGTCCTAGGCGGCTCCTTGGCGGCCCCAGGGAGAGCAGTCCAGGAGGATCCCCCGGTGCTGCTGCTGCTGCTGCTCCTCCTCTAAGAGGCCTCTTAGATGGGGTCGGAGTAGATGGGGTCGGAGGATCGAGCCGCATCGACGATACATCGGCGATACATGGGCGACATCGGCGGTGCATCGGCGACGCCAGCGTGGAGAAAATCGGGCTCCACATCGAACCGCATCGCCGATGCATCGGCGATGCGGCGCGATCCCATCTACTCTGACCCCATCTAAGAGGCCTAGAGTGTTGCTGCTGCTGCTGCTGCTGCTGCTGCCCCTCCCCCCCCGCCACTCCTGCCCCTCCGCCCGCGGGGAGCTGCCTCGGCCAGGCGCTGCGACGGGCGGACCAAGTTCTGCGCCCGGGACGGCCGAGCAGGGGGCGTGCTGTCGAACCTTCGCCGGGCGTCGTCGCCGACGCCGCCACCATCTTCCGCCGACGAAGCTGCGGACCGCCTCGACCCAGATCTGAGCCTCCTCCTCCTCCTCCTCCTCCTCCTCATCATCCATAGTCAGTCGAAGGAGGGAGGGAGGGAAGGAGGGAGGGATATTGTGGACACCGGGGGCTCGTCGCCCTGGTGCCGAAGTGGGCTGCTCTGGTCCGAGCGCGGTCTTCGGCGCCGCCGGCCGCGCCGCAGAGTCTCCTGCAGGGGCGCCTTCCGGAAGCGCATGTCGGAGCAGACGTGCGGCACCTGGTGGTGGTGCGCTGCCTCCTGCTGCTTCTGCTCGAGAACGCCGCCGTGGGACAAAGGCCAGGCCGGGGCTGCGGGGGGAAACTTAACGCTTCACTGTGGCCGCGCACGCAGCCCAAGGCCCAACCCCAAGAGGCACCCAAGAGGCCCAAGGATTCCCCCAAGAGGCTTCCGAGAGGCTTCCAAGAGGGACCCCAAAGTGACCCAAGAAGCTCCCAAGAGGTGTCCTCATCGTTTTCCTCTTCCTCCTCCTCCTCCTCCTCCTCCTCCTCCTCCTCATAATCATCATCATCATCATCATCATCATCATCATCATCATCATCATCATCATCATCAGCATCAGCATCAGCATCATCATCATCATCATCATCATTATTATCATCATCATCATCATCATCCTCATCATCGTCATCATCATCATCATCACCATCACTATCACCATCACCATCAGCATCCGCATCATCATCACCAGCACCACCATCACCACCACCACCACCACCACCATCATCATCATCACCATCACCATCACCATCACCATCATCATCATCATCATCATCATCAGCATCAGCATCAGCATCAGCATCATCCTCATCCTCATCCTCATCCTCATCCTCATCCTCATCCCTATCCTCCTCCTCCTCCTCCTCCTCCTCCTCCTCCTCCTCCTCCTCCTCATCCTCATCCTCATCCTCATCCTCATCCTCATCCTCATCATCATCATCATCATCATCATCATCATCATCATCATCATCTTCCCTCCCTCTCCCCATCCTGCTCTGCCTCCCATCACCAGCTGCCTGGGGCCTCCTCCTCCTCCTACTTCTCCCTCCCACTCCCCTGTGACTATGTGACTGACTAAAAAAAGGGAATGTCATACAACCACAACACACACCAGAAAGGGAAATTAGTCCGCCCTCCTGGCCCGCAGTTCACGGCCTGAAAAAGAGAGGGGGACAGACAGTGATAGCCGAGCTCCAGAGTCTGGCAGGATGCCACGCCTCAGCCTCCTGCTCTCAGAGCCGGCCTTGTTCGTGCACGGGCTGGCGAGTTTCTTTCCCACTTGACAAGAAGTGAACGCACCACACACAATGCCCTGCACAACTGGGAGGCCGTTCTCCTCCAACCACGAGACATGGAGCACATGGCACATGATTCCTGCGAGGGCCTCTCAGGAAATCAGCAAGAGGTGGGTTCAGAGCGTCGCGCTCCGCACGCGTATCCCTGATACACACCGAATAGACACCTGATTGGCAACCCACGAGCCTGAAGCACATATTGCACCTCCGACGTCCATGATGCCAGACTGGAAGGTGTGGGATGATGGGCTTAGGAGTTGGCCTCGGACCCACACGGACCCGAGCAAGCCCCCCCAACTCCCCAAACATAGGCCAACTCCCAAGCACCTTCTCCATACCGTGAATTAGGGTGGTGTACATATTGGCAGTGTTCCTACATCTACTGAGCAGATCGTCGCTAAAACTGTGCCCACGCGCAGCCTGTCCAGCATGATACTCAGCACGCTTATTGCCTTTGACGAAAAAAAACACCGGAACATCAGCCACTCTCTTCTCGTCCCTATAAGCTTTGACTGTGCTGAGCCTCGGAGGGTCATCAGGGCGCGCACGGGCAATCTCTCTCCAAAAATGGGCCTCAGGGTTAGCCCCCGGGAGAGCCCACTGGTGGGTCATGGTGCTTTGGCGGAGGGTTGCACAATCTAAAAAAAGAGAGCCAATCTGACAAGCGTCGGCCGAAAACACAGTCGCAATGAGTATAGCACAGTGCTCGGCACACGCACTGGACTGTTCCATATTGCCTGGAACACTGGTCCTGATCGCACGAACCAGGGCCCCGTCATCATCCACCTGCACCACACTAGCTCCCGTTCGAGAGAGGTGGCTGTTCTGCGGGAACAGGCAAGAGCCATCACTGAATAGAGAGGCCCCCGCTGGGAACTCAAAGGGCTCGACAGGTTCCCCGCGAGGCCCCAAAAAGTTGCGCGCCCAGTTTATGCGAGCTACCCAGGCACGGCTAAACAGACCCAGGGCCGTCTTCCAGAGCATGCTGAACGAGGGACTCAGGGGGCACCTCCTGGCGGACAGCTGACGCAACAGGTGCCACACATAATCGTTCTGGCCGCACCTACCGCACACAGCACTACAACTAAATCCCCACCTGGGCAAGGCTTCCCCTGTGGGCAGGGTCCCACAAAAACACTGTTTCACTCTCACTTTTTCAGCGTGGGTGAACACGGGCTTCTGGGAGTTCATCTTCTGCTTGCAGAGCTCCCACCAGAGCCCTCGGGCCAGAGGGTCCTGTGAGTCGAAAGTAGACCTGTCGCACCGTAGCAACATGTCTCTGGATGCACTGGTTTTTGAGCTGCGAGGAGAACATCCGAGCAATGAGGGTGGGGCTAACCTAAGTGCAATTCAGCTTGTGGCCTCGGGAGTCCACGAAGATCCCCGGGATGCTGCGTTTCCAACCAACCTCCTCACGCCAAAGGTGCATGTCCGTTACTGGTACTCTGGAGGGGATGTTTAATTTGTCCTTTTGTCTCCTCGATGTGGCTGGCGGCGGAGACTGTCACTTGGCGTTCTTGCGGAAGGCTGTTGTCATCCACTACTCTGCTGCATATCAACCGATACTTCTGCTTGCGATATCGATCGGGTCCTGATACACTGATAGAGCCCACCCAAGGTCCACCGGAGCCTCTTTGAATAGCACCCCAGGAGTCCCGACGACGAACGGATTTGCCGAACTTGATGCGGGCTGAAAGCGCGCCCCCCCCCCCCATAAGGTAACATCGCTCTCAGGCTGGTCTGGAAGAGTCGCTTTTTCTGTCCCGACGTTATCTGATATCGTCTCATTCGTCTTCGTCTCGCACCGTATTCCACCCGTCGTGTAGCTCGAGTGCGACGGGCCCCAGGTCGAAGACGGCGTTGGCCTCCTGAGAAGTCGACGCCCAAGTTGGTTGGGTCTCCTCCGTCCTGGGCCCCAGCGAGGTCTTCGAGGGCTTCCCTTGCTAGCTTAAGAGGTGGACCCGACGACGAAGCAATTCCAAACTTGCGGTGGGCCAGCGGCAGGAGAAGGTCGTACACCAGATACGAGCGGACCGATTCAGCTAGCTTCTGAAGGGGCCCCATCACCCACCGCATCTCATGACCCCATCGTTGGAGGGTGAGGTCATCAACGTGGAGGGAGAGGGCAGCGCTGTTCGCCAGGTTGGCTGTGAATATGACCGCGCCTGGCTCGGGGAAAACCATTACCTCGTACGTGGCCGCGGTCGATCCTGCAACTATCCCGCGGCCTGGGTGCAGCGCGGAATCCATGGGCCCTTCCAGCATGATGTGCCTCGGCAATTGGCGCGTTCCTAGAGCGAGCGCCAACAAACAAAGCAAACATAACTCGCAATACTGAGCAACTCTGACAAATATATCATACGTAACATGTTGGTAGAACTGCTTATGTACCATAAGACTTGCGATGCTGCTCCTCCAGAGTTCCAGGCGTGTTCTGCTAAAACAGCTTGCTTCCAAACTGCGTCAGACGGGGGTCGCTTGGGAACCGTTCTGAGAATCCAGAGCCCACGCCGCGTTCGAATTCCCCAGGCCGCGCTCGATGCTTCTGAACCCTTCCAAACACCCGAACGAATCCTCCACAATGTCCAGGAGGCCTCCTAGCAGTCGGGTCGGGCTTAGGATCAAGAAGAACGACGAGACGCTGCACCTGGCGGGGTGCGACGCCAGCGAACTGCATCAGCTGGTGCATCAGCGAAGCGGCAACGAGGCTCTGGTCGCATTGCAAAGACGCATGATTGGGGTGCCATTCATCAGGTGCGCGCGCGTTGCTCTGGAAACTCCTGGAGCAAGCCCGACTGATGTCAGCCTCGGGTCGCTAACCTACTGGGGCCCCGCGCTGGGCCAGCTCGAACGAGTCGCGTGCATCGTCTGTAGCCGCCCACGCTTTCTTCCAGATATCCCCTTGGTGCTCTAAACAGGCCCGCAAAGAGACGCTGCGGAGTAGAGTCTTGATCTCCAAATCGGTTGGCTCAGCTGGGCCTGCGGAGGGCTCAGGGATTTCTACCCCCTGGGGAGCCCGCGGGCACCCCGAGCCCCAGACTCCCCGACAGCTTGAATACGTTATTCGTTCCATCCTGCCCCATCGAGCTGTTCTCCAGACAAGAACGCGTAGTTTTTGAAATCCCTAGCGAACTGGATAATATCTGCGCGGACATTGTGGGCCCCCCTCAGGAACGATCATGAGTAGCGCGCCCGACCCATTCAACATCGGAAGCCAGAGCGACCCCCCAGTGCCCCAAGAAATCCGAAATGGGCGACCCGATTCCTGGATGTTCACGAGATGCTTCGCAGGTGCCCCGGGGCACCCATCGGCGCGTGGAGCCCTGCCAATGCCGAGCAAACTGGAAATCCCCCCAAGACGGCCCACCACCCAGCCAAGCGCCCCAGTGGGGTGGGCAAAAAATCTGCGACGCGTCGCCGGCACTTTGATCGCAGAGACGGCTTCGTCTCGAGCGTCTCCCTCGAGCGCGGCGCGCCAAGCGACTGCCCCTCCTAGTTGACGATAGAGAGCCCCCAGAGGTTGCAGTGCAGCTTGGTAATCAGGTGGTTCTCGTTGGGGCCCGATATGAAGTATCGCGGAGGGCTTCTGGTGCGCCTGGGGGGCTGGATGGTGGCGCCTTTGAGGTTT